GAACCAACAATTACACTTGTGTGAATTTCTGCACGGTATATCTTCGCAAGGCCAAAGTTGCTACTGCACTCGTGCTGGCTTTGTTGTTCCTTCGAAGGTCACGCTTCTTCAACAACTGCAAGATCCGAACAATAGGACCTGCAAGATCAACTTGTGAGAAAGTTGATCTACCCCCTTTTAATCAAGAAGTTTGATCAAAAGTTATATCCTTCAATGTGGTGTGGTACTTGAGGCAAGGAAACCTTCAAGTGTTTACACTATAGCTCTTTGGAAGGAGGAGAAGTTTGCTTCTGGATAAGGAGTTTTAGAAATCTCTCTTTATCAAGCATTTTGGGCTAACTGTGAATGAGATAGCTTTGTTGTTGGATATTGCTTCGTTGTGTTCGTCTATCTCGTTATATTTTCTCCAGTCTTCCAAGGTTGCTATTTATAGCTGGATTGGATAATCTATCCGTTGAATCACAATAGATTATCCGTTGCATTTGCTGGCTTCAATTTTGAATGAAGATTGTGATTGAGGATTCCTCATTGGAGTGGGGGTTTGGATATACCCAATTATTTGAGGAGGGAATCCTTTTTCCACAGAATCCGTCTTCTAGCTGTTGTTCAAGAATTCTGGACTGTAGCACATTACCCAGTTTGTCTTTTAGTGCTTGTCTAGGAATTCTGGACGAGCTCTTTAATTTGAGGGGTCCAGACTTTGTCTTCACGTCATTTGTTCTTGAATCAGCTTAATTATCTTCAATCTAGCCGTTGAAAATCAAGAGATTGATTTTTCCTTACCAACAGGTAGAATTTCTTCATTCAAGACTTAGAATTTTTTAAGTCTTTTCTCACTTGTCCGCTTCTGAGAGTTCTGATCTTTTCTTGAGACTCTTGATTCTTTTGCTGACAAATCCGGGAGAGTCATTCACAGACTTCCGGGTGAGAAAGAGATCCGCGCTAGTCTCCCGATTTGAATGACTTAGCCTTCAGCGGGTTGTAGCGAGACATCCAGTTATTAAGTAGTATTCCGGATTAGAGGATCTTCATCTGCTTTGAGAAATCCTTACTTGTCTCTGACATTTCCGATCAAGATATCCAATTTCCATATCACAGAATTTGATTAAGTCTTCAAGAATCAAACCACTTAAAGAAATATCACAACTTTATTGGAAATCTCAAGAACTCGGTTTTAACAATATTTCTAAAAAGAAAGATTACATTGAATATTGGGGGAGGCCTAATGTCCCTATTACAATCTAAATACATCATCATCAAAATCTATAATATTTTCTCAACAATATATATATATATATATATATATATATATATATATATATATATATATAAAGTGCAACTTTACTTCACTTAAATATTCTACACTTTCATATGTGCTATGTGTGTGACCCTATTCTAGGCATCTAAAAAATAGGCCATAGTATAGAATACTACAAGTGATAAGCGGTATCTAGCAACACATTATCACCTCCAAATTGTAGATTAATGCTCTTGGAACAATTCCTTCAACGACACATCCTATTTGTATAACCTTATCTCTTTATCACTAATATCTTGATTTAACACAAGGTATGGGGTGTGTCACCTTGTTAAAGTTAAATCGATGGTTTACTGATTCTTCGATTGACTTATGGGATTCAAATAACATATTTATTTGGGCATGGCCATGCACTTCCCAAGTCACATCAATCAGTGGGCCCTATGATATTATACTTCATGAGAATAATATTAACACTTTAACTTAAACCCATATATTATTCTCATAGCGGGTCAATCCAACAATATATCCAATATGTTTGCCTACATATAGATTCAGATAACAGTTTATCTATAGCCTATGAGACGCGGCTATCTCATCTCATACGTATTAGTCTTGATATATTATGATGTCAGTATTGTCATAATATTCGACTAAGGATATTTTAGACGTGGCCTCTATCTTTGCAACAGCCTCATAATAAGAACATCGTAGTTCTCATCTGTGTTACTAGAGCGCCTACTCTATGGACTAAAGCTATGTTTAAATTACACGAGACAACTTAAACAATCTTCAGGGCCTATTGTTCTTGACATAATACAGATACTGAATCATAAGTTGGCCTCTAGGGCTCACTTATATTCAACAATCTCCCACTAGCACTAAGGCCAATTATGGTTTCCATGTATGGCTCATGCACGAAGTGTGACCCTCGTGTATAGGTTTTCCCAAAGCCTAGGTCAATAGGTTAAGATATTGTTTATCCTTTTCTATCTTGAAAATTTTGATACTTTCATTTTTACGACTATTCGTATGTTGTGGTGAGATCTAATGATGTTTTGGTTTCTTGGTGTAGCTTCTTTAGCTCCTATAGTAACCTTATCGTTGTCAGTACAATGAGATATTGGTTTCTAACGATGGGAGCAACGCTATCCTTTTGTGAGAAGCTACAAAACCAAACTATCTTTCTTTTGCTACTTCTAAAGTGGCAAATTTATCTCATTGTTATGCGTACGACACTATGTCAATACTTTTATGTTTTGTTAATTTCAACCTACCTTATAGTTGTTCTAAACAAGCTATTTTGTGTGTAACATTCACACTTAAGCCATTTTAGAAAACCATACTCTTTTGTCTCTTCTTAAGAATTTAAAGTTAACTTTTACAAAGTTGACTACTACTCTTAGCTCAACTAGGACATACATCAAATATATTCCTTTAGAATGAATCAAGTCCATATCTCATGGTACTCTATGGAACGATTTCCATGCGGTCCTTTTACAGAGAGAGTCTCCAAAAAGGCTTTAACTTGAGATTTATGCAAGTTTAAAAAAAAACTTCCATGTATGTACTGGCCTTAGATTATTCCTAGTTCTTTGATCCATCTATATGGATTCTTTAGACTTGAGCACATAAATACTATTTGCATTCATGACTCATAAGTTTTAATTTATTTTTTCAATGATATGCAACATACTTATTGTGCTCCCACTAGTCTTTAATAAGACTCTTATCCTAGACATACAAGTGCTATAACTGGTTATAGATAATTCGAAACCTTTCTTTTATCCTTTATAGACTCATCCAAAAACAAGTATTAAAGTGTATTCATTCATATGAGACATATTTTCATTACTTGTTATTAAGGAAGGAATCGTTTTAGAACAGATTCCAAGTATTCTTTCCTTTCAGAGTTTATAATGGTTATTTTAGCACTTAAGGTGCAGTAGTATTTGGCAAGGTTACATAATCCTCTTTATTAGACTAACTATTTTAGTCACGTTATCTAGATAACGTTTGAGGGAATGTCAATTTCATGATCGCATCATTTTTGCCTTTCCTATTATGTAACTTTTGGCATTAATATCACTTGATCTTTGTTAAGTGTGCTTTATTAATGTTAATGGCAAATTTAAATTTCGAAAATTTAAAGAGAAAGGGAATTGGCTATAAACTTTATGAAGATATCATTATATTTCTAAGTGTTTATCACTCCATTCATAGTTTTGTGACAAACTTATTAACTAATTAATATTTATACTTTATAGCCTTGGTATAGTTGTTGTATTGCGATATGCTTGTGAGGAAAAATATTTGATCATATGAAATACTTCTATAAATGGAGCAACAATTTGTCCTTTATTGAAATAACCAATAGTACTTAAAACAATAAGTAAACATCAATTCTAAACTAAAAACTGATCAAATACTAAAACTTAAACTAATGCGCCACTGAGCTGCAACCCTTGCATCTTCAAGATCAATACTCCTACTTGTTCTCTTCAGTTCCTGCAACGGTTTGCAATACTATAAGTATCAAATACTTTTGAAGAGATTGTAGATTAGTTTAAGTCTTTACACCAATTGTACCTGAAGCAGAAGCTTCACACTTTTTCTTGGTTGCCAAATACTGCTTGAAATTCCTCTTCTAGTGGCCAACTTCACCACAGTGATGACAAATGGAATCTTTGGCCACTCGACCTTTAGGCTTGAGCTTAGAAGAATTGGACTTTGGTTCGGTGTTACCCTTGCCTTTATGTCCATTCTTCTGTGCTTTCTTAAACTTCTTCTTGACTTTTCCTCCTTGAACCAGAAGGACAGAATTCCCCTTTCCTTTTGTCAAGCTCTCTTCGGCAGTTTGCAGCATCTTCAAAAGTTCAGGCAGTGGTTTATCGAGTTCATGCATCTCGTAATTAACCACAAACTGCTTATACAATTCCAGCAACGATTGCAGAATCAGATCAGTCGCAAGTTCAATCCTTTGTTCGAAACCCAATTTCTCAAGAGTTTGGACGTAGCCAATCATCTTGAGAACATGCAGACCAACGGGGTTTCCAACTGATAACTTGCAACTAAATAGAGCTTTGGAGATTTGGAATCTCTCATGCCTAGCTTGTCCTAGGTAGAGCTGTCTTAGGTGTATGATCATATCGTACGCCTTCATACTCTTGTGATGTTTCTGAAGGTCAGAAGTTATCGTAGCCAACATGAGACAAGCCACCTCACTGTCATCATTAACATGCTTCTCATAAGTATCCTTGATTTCTCTAGAAGCATTGGCGGCCGGGACAGGTGGGATGGCTCGTTCGAGCACGTATTCTTTCTTCTCGAGTCAAAGAACGATAATGAGGTTTCTTTGCCAGTCTAAGAAGTTAGAGCCGGTCAACTTATCTTTGTCGAGGATCGAGCGAAGAGTGAGGTTATGGTTGTTATTAGACATCTACATATAATTTACAAGATAGTTAATATCAAGAATCTAAGTAATTAGCTAGGTCTTTAACTAATAACTCTCCCACTATTTTAACAAATCAACTACCCTCAAGTACGTAACCTGTTGATTCCAGATTTCTGCTAAAGAGATATCTTAGTGGGCCAAGGTACATATTACATTTTACTATAGTTGTGCTTTGCATCTTGCCTTATAGTTAAACTAATTAGGTAGGAACTTATTTCCAATTGTGATCCAATTACAATCCTTGGTTTGTTAGGTTGTTCTAAATAAATTCCTATATTGGGCCTAGATCCTTATTTTATCTAACTATAGTTGTGCTTTGCATCTTGCCCTATAGTTAAACTATTTCAGGTAGGAACTATTTCCAATTGTAACATTTTACAACTCTAGGTTAGATGAATTTGATTTTATTTATTAACCTAACCATGTGCCTCTAAGTTATTCATCTTTTTACCTTAAGTTAGTTAAGTTCAACCCGGGGCGTACTCAATATCCATTGTTACGGATTTCACGTCATACCAATGTAAACCAGGCATTTGGCTTTGGCGTGCCCGTTGACTGGTCGAAACTGGTATCGACGAGTCAGTCGGCGTCGGAAGGCACAAACTTAATATTACGAGGAATTTTAAACGTGATTTCACCCATGGCATGTGCCGCGCACATACACTAGCGAATATCATACAAACATGTATAATGAACAAAACGTGACATGGTTGTGGCCTCCTAAAGAACTAACGATAAAGCCTTCACTTGAGATCTTTATCTCCAGCTTCATCTTCTTTCTTTAAGAATGCTTTAGTCTTCAAGTTCAGCCCTTTGTTGTTAGTGTCCTCTTCTTCTTGGCTCCTTCATCTTCCTTGCTTCTTCATGGACTTCTTTGTTTTTATAATCGAGAGAAAAGAATCCTGGCTTTGTAAGCAAGGGGTATGAATTTTAAGAAGGGATTTACATCTAGAATTTAGAGATAAGGCACGACACGTAGGTCGCATTTAAAAACCAATGATTCTAAGCCACAATCACGCACCATGCATACATTCATACATCACATGCATAAAACCATACACCGAGCAAGTCGCGCTTGCCCCAGACCTAGTTTATTCTAAGAAAAATAAACTACAAGCCTACAAATTATCAAATAATTTTATTTAACTTTATTTTTAAAACTCCAGAATTTCCAAAATTTGATTTTTAATTTTTCTAAATTTTAAAATAATTAATTTCTGTAAATATAGGTATTAATTTCAAAATTGGGATTTTAATTCAAAATAAATACTTATACCTTTTAAAAAATTAATAAATAATTTCCTGAATGTGTATTCTGATTCTATACGTCTGAAAATAAAATTTCCAGAGTTTATAAAATTTATTTTCGAAATTCTTTATTTAAATACCCAAAATTGGACTTCAATTTTCCAAAAATTAATTCCAAGTTTCCAAAAATTAATTTTTTCCAAAAATATTTACTTTGGGTCTGAATTCTTCTGAAAATCAAATTTCTAGAATTAAATAAATTTTATTTTTGGTATTTTGGAATTTGTTTCCAAAAGGAGTTAAATTAATTACCAAAATTAGTGTAGAATATTATAAATATTCCGAAAATCAATATTTTCCATAAATAAACTTTTTTACTAATGTAAAATCTGAAAATTAAATTTTCCAGAGTTTACTTAAATTTATTTTCGGTACTTTCTATTTATTATTTGGTAATCCATGAAACAATTTCTAAAATTATTTTCCTGTACCATAATTGTTCCAAAAATCAGTATTCTCATAATATTATGATATTATTACCAAATACTAATTTTCCATAATTTTAAATTAATTATTTAATTTTCGGGAATTAAATACCGATTTACCAAAACTGTTTTTCCCAAAATCATATTTTCAAGTTCATAAAATCATAATCCCGAATTTTAATTTTCCTTTTAGGTTTAATCTATATTAATACCGAATAAGATTATTTAAATTGGGAAAAATAGAAAATAAAAACCGAAATTTTTTTTTCCAGATTACTTAAAATCATATTTTAACATCTCAGAAATATTAAAATTATTTTCCATAATATATTTTGTATTTATCTTGTAATTAATCAAATTAACTACAAATCAACTAATACTTTATAAATTAGAAAATAAATTCCGAAATTTAATTATAAATTTCCAGAGCTCCTAAAATGATATATTTTAAAGTCTCAGAATGATTAAAGTTATTTTTCCATAATTTATTCTGTATTTATCTTGTAATTAATTAATCAAATTAACTACAAATCAAACAATACTTTATAAATTAGGAAATCACTTCTGTAAATTAATTTTAAATATCCAGAGGTCTTTAAATGATATATGAAAGTCTCATATGTAATAAACATAATTTTCGAATTTTCAAAATATTTTAATTGGTTAAAACAGTTTTGAATCGATTAACCCAAAAATAAAAATAAATCCAAAATTTAATTCAAAAAATCATATTTTCGAATTTTATAAAGTCCAGAATCATATTTTGGCACTTTCTTGAATTTTTGATAATTTTCAAAAATATATACACATATAATTTATTTTATCAATTATCAAAACCCTAACGGCAATTAGATCTACAAAACTTATAATTCTCATAAGTCAGCTCCGATACCACTGTTGGGTTCAACGCTTGGATAGGGCAGCGGAAAACAAAAATTTTTATTGATCCAAGAGCTAGCCACAAAAGTATATGACCTCCAGTTGAGACACTCGAACAATGAAGAGTGTTCTAGAGAAAATTATGCTAGTAATCTTTCTCTAGAATATTTCTAAAATATAAAATATTTGGTGTAAAGTATTAAGAGAACAAAACGAATTTTTCTCTCTTAAAATTATGCTAGGGCCGAAATTCTCTTCTCTTAAAAGGGGTGTGATGATCTCCTATTTATATGGAGCATAATCCTCATTCCTATTCTTAATAGGAATGTACCTTTTAGAGTTTAGGAAGAAAATCAAATCTCATTCCTATTCTACTTAGGCAATTTCAAATGGCACTTTAAAGAAGCTTCCAATTTATTTTGTCAACTTTAATTATCATATAATTAACACAAAATAAATAATATAGCATTTATTATATATATATACATATAATTAACACAATTTTTATATATATATATATATATATATATATATATATATATATATATATACCCTGGCCCCCACCCTAGCTGTAAGTTCCTGCTCATAAAATTGTAGACTGGCCCCACAAACCAACACAAGTTTTTCCCGCGCACTTTGTCCTCACTCGTGTGCGCCCAAGGAAAGTTCCCAGGGGGTCACCCATTCTAGAATTTCTCCAGGTCAAGAATTTCTTAATAGGAATGTACCTTTTAGAGTTTAGGAAGAAAATCAAATCTCATTCCTATTCTACTTAGGCAATTTCAAATGGCACTTTAAAGAAGCTTCCAATTTATTTTGTCAACTTTAATTATCATATAATTAACACAAAATAAATAATATAGCATTTATTATATATATATACATATAATTAACACAACTTATATATATATATATATATATATACCCTGGCCCCCACCCTAGCTGTAAGTTCCTGCTCATAAAATTGTAGACTGGCCCCACAAACCAACACAAGTTTTTCCCGCGCACTTTGTCCTCACTCGTGTGCGCCCAAGGAAAGTTCCCAGGGGGTCACCCATTCTAGAATTTCTCCAGGTCAAGCACGCTTAACTTTGGAGTTTCTAGGTGATGAGCTCTCGAAAAGAAGATGCACCTTGTTGGTATGAGTAGTACTATCAATCCTTTTGAGCTCTTTCCATTCCCATCTTGATATGGGGTATTACATTCACCCCCACTTAGGAATGCAACGTCCTCGTTGCATCCTTTTTTTTTGAACCCATAGATCTTCCCTGCTAGGTGAACTAAGCCCTTTTGGCCCTTCACGGTTGCGAGTTGCTCTGATACCACTTGTAACACCCCGGCCCCCACCCTAGTCGTAAGTGTCTGCTCATAGGATTGTAGACTGGCCCCACAAACCAACACAAGTCTTTCCCGCGTACTTTGTCCTCACTCGTGCCCGCTTAAGGAAAGTTCCCAAGGGGTCACCCATCCTAGAATTTCTCCAGGTCAAGCACGCTTAACTTTGCATTTTCTAGGTGATGAGCTCTTGAAAGGAAGATGCAACTTGTTGGTATGAGTAGTACTATCAATCCTTTTGAGCTCTTCCCATTCCCATCTTGATACGGGGTATTACATATATATATATATATATATATATATATATATATATATATATATATATATATATATATATATATATATATATATAAAGTGCAACTTCACTCCACTTAAATATTCTAGACTTTCACATGTTCTATGTGTGTGACCCTATTCTTGGCATCTAAAAAATTGGCCATAGTATAGAATACTATAAGTGATAAGCGGTATCTAGCAACCCATTATCACCCCCAAATTATAGATTAAAGCTCTTGGAACAATTCCTTCAACGACACATCCTATTTGTATAACCCTTATCCCTTTATCACTAATATCTTGATTTAACACAAGGTATGGGGTGTGTCACCTTGTTAAAGTTAAATCGATGGTTTACTGATTCTTCGATTGACTTATGGGATTCAAATAACATATTTTATTGGGCATGGCCATGCACTTTCAAAGTCACATCAATCAGTGGACCCTAAGATATTATACTTCATCAAAGAAGGGATAAATTCTATCTACGTCATTCACATCTTCACTTAAGTTTCATTGCATACCCAAAACATAACTGTACATCCACTAATATTTCAGATGGCATAAATCATGCTTCAAAGTATACAACTCAACTTACCAAAGAATGTAATGAGGGATAGTTATACTAATGGTCGCCTGAGAATAATATTAACGCTTTAACTTAAACCCATATATTATTCTCATAGCGGGTCAATCCAGTAATATATCCAATCTGTTTGCC